CAAGTAGAATACGTCCAATCAGATTGGAACGCCGGGTATACTACTCTAACAGGAGGGTCGGTTGTCACGCCTGTAAAAGTTCACTTTCTTTCCTTTGCCCTTGTTCTTGAAGTCGGACTTCCTCTTACCCGAGCTAGAGCCGGGCGGCACGGTCGAGATGGGCTGAGCGTACTGGATAGCCTGAGGAGGCTGAGAGGCAAGAGGATAGGATGGAATGGGAACAACCGGAATGAGGCAGCTCTCCACCTCCTGGGCTCGGCTCACGGTATCAGCATAGGACATGGGTCCATGACTTCCCACCAGCTTGCGAATCCTCTGGTTGAGACCCTTGAGGAACTTCCGGGCCTTCTTAGCATCAGTGTTCACCGCATCACCCGCAAAAAGGCACATACGGGTGAAAGTGCGGATGTACTCATCCACCGAGGAGCTACCCTGCTGCAAGTGGTAGAATTCGTGCTCCATTCTGTCCCAAAAGCTCTGAGGAAGGAACTTACTGTGCACCATCACCTTCATTTGCTCCCAAGAGAGAGCATGAAGCTCCGCCTCGGGCCTCCGAGCCCAAAGCTCAATCCACCAATCTGAGGCGTCTTCCTTCATCTAATACGCCGCAAGAGACACGCACTGACGGTCGGGAAGGGGAAGTACAGCAAAGATCTTGTCCAACTCCTTCATCCACTCAAGCACAGTTGTGGGGTTCTCTGTCCCCGAGAAAGTAGGCGCATTCATGCGCTGAAACTGCACAATCAGCTGTGTCAGGTCCATGGCCGGAGGGGCCTGGTGCTGACGACGAGGAGGAGAAGGAGATGGGGATGGCTGACGATTACAGTTGCGAGTATTCATACTTCTACATTGAATATGCCGAGCAAAGTTAGCACAGAAAAACAAACATAATACATCAGAAGTCTAGAGTTCACCACAAACACTAGAGTTCGATTAAATCAAGGTGGATAGATCCTAAGCCCCATAGTTAATAAGTTCATCTCACAAGTGCACCAATAATATCACAAGTATTTTCATTAATACTTAAGCAAGACATACCTTAAGCAGCGCGGAGTGACGGAGACGAGTGGTCATAACACAGGGTCTAAACACATAATCACATATGTGCCAGTCTACAGAAACGCAGACTGGCTCTGATACCAAACTGTAACACCCCACTTGAATTTAAAGAAATTATCGGATTTTTCAAAAACAGAATAAAATTTTCAAACTCTTTTTCGAAATCTTAGTGGGTGTTATCTAACACAATTTAACTAGTCCAAGTCGTGTCTGGACTCACGGGGATTCATAAACCCGATTTTCGCAAGGTTTTCATTAACCTGATACACATCTCATATGAACAATAGAATATCCAAATCAATCACCATAATTATCCAAGGTTCAAAAGTGATTACCAAATTAT